CATAATATTTTATGTACTTTGCCTCTTCAGGATGCTCCATTTAAAATATCTTACAACACACATAAAGATAAGTGGTCTATTAATGAATTGCTAACCATGTGTGTACAAGAAAAAGGGAGATTACTTATGGAAGAAGGTGAAATTGTTAACTTGACTACTTCTATTAAGAAAAAGAAGAATCAAGTTAACCAAAAAAAAAATTTATGCTCATCCAATTATAAAGAAAGAGTCTAAATGTTTCTTCTATAAAAAGAAATGACACATGAAAAAAGACTATGCAAAATTTAAGAATTGGTTAGAGAAGAAAGATAATTTCTTCACTCTTGTTTGTTATGGATCTAATGTGACTAGTATTAGTCATGACACAGATGGATTGATTCTGGATCTATAATCCATGTTTATAATACGTTGTAGGATATGCAAAACCTGAGGAGACTAGTGAGACACTACAAGAAATATTAAAATTACCGACGGTCAAAATCCGTCGGTAATAACAAAAATCCGTCGGTAAATGAATATTACCGACGGAATTCCGACGGCCAAAAATCCGTCGGAAATTCGATTGTCGGTAAATATTACCGACGGATTTATCCGTCGGTAAATGTGTTACGAAATTACCGACGGATTTATCCGTCGGTAATAATTTTATTAATTATTAAATATTTGACTTATTTATAACATATTTTTTTTTATAGAACTCCTCCCTCTTATATTCTTATTATTTATTACTAATTATTCCTCCCTCTTATATTCTTATTATTTATTACTAATTATTTCTCCATATTATATTTTTATAGCTTTGAATTATTGTCGATTAAGAGAAATGTCATTGGCAGGATTGAACTCAAGATCTTAGAGTCGAGGTCGATACTCCAACCACTAAGCTACTTAGAATTTCTTGATAACAATTTACAAATAAATTATATTTATATACAAATATACAAATACATTTATATATATTTATATATATTTATATATATTAATATATATTTATATATATATTTATATATTTATATATATTTTTATATATTTATATATATTTATACATATTTTTATATATTTATATATATTTATATATATTTATATATATTTATATATATTTTTATATATTTATATATATTTATATATATTTATATATATTTTTATATATTTTTATATATTTTTATATATTTATATATCTATATATTTATATATTTTATATTTATATATTTTTATATATTTTTATATTTTATATTTATATATTTTTATATTTTATATATTTATATATTTATATATTTATATATTTATATATTTTATATTTATATATTTTTATATATTTTTATATTTTTATATTTTATATTTATATATTTATATATTTATATATTTTATATTTATATATTTTTATATTTTCATATATTTATATATTTATATATTTTTATATATTTATATATTTTCATATATTTATATATAATTAAATATTTATTTTTAAAATTACTTAATTTAATAAATGATTATAAATTAATCTAATTATGATTAAATTAAATTATTAAATAAAAAATATTTATTTTTTAATTAGTGAATAATTAAATTATATTATATAATTTTACAGACGGATATATCCGTCGATAAATAATTTTTAATTTACATATGAATTTACCAGACGGATATATCCGGTCGTTAATTAATTGTTAAATTATCGACGGATTTACCAGACGGATATATCCGTCGGTAAATTCATCAATAAATTACCGACGGATTTATCGACGGATATATCCGTCGGTAACTAATTATTATTTTACCGACGGATATATCCGTCGGTAACATCAAATTTCACAAATATTCTATATCCGTCGGTAATTTCCGTCGATAATGATTATTTTCCGACGGCTACAAATCCGTCGGTAAATATCCGTCGGTAATACGCGATTTTCTTGTAGTGAGAACTGAGCAATACATCTATTTAGGAAGCAAGATGAGCTCACATGTGGAGGTCATTGGAACATGCAAGTTAATCCTAAATAATGGTTTTGTTTTATGTTTGGAAAATACCTTCTATGTTCCTAGTTATTGTGAATATTTGATTTACATTTCTCACAACTTGTACCTTTGGAATTTTCATTCAATCTTATAAACTTTGGGTTTACTTTATTAAATCAATCAAATGTTGTTGGTTTTGGTCAATTACGATATATATTTTACTCCATTGATTTAAAAAATGACACTACTCATAATACTATGCATGTTTCTTCTGGGTTAAAACGATGTGTTGTGAATGATGATTCTTTTATGTTGTGACACCAATTGGATTGAGACATATCTTCATTGGAAGAATTAAACGATTGGTGAATGATGGAGTACTTAGTACTTTAGATTTTACTGATTTTGAGACTTGTGTAAATTGTATTAAGGGTAAGCAAACTAACAAGTCTAAAAAGGGTGCTTCAAGGTCATCAAATTTGCTCTCTTCTTCAATATACATACCATCAGTGTTGGGGATGGAAATTAAGAAGTGTTTTAAAGAAGCTTTGTTCCAAAATAATGGTTGGAGGTTAGTAAATCTTTTTATGTTTCCTCTTTATTATGTTTTTCATATTCAATCATTCATCCTCGAAGAAGTATGATGAAAATCATGGTTATCAAAATCGAATCAAACTGATCGGTTCAATCAATTGGATTGGGTATCGGTTCGATAACCAATCTGGAACTCCCTAAAATTCGGGCGAACAATGAATTAATAAAAAATTGGATAAATCGGTGAAATCAGATGGGTTAAGGGCTCATCCTAGTTTTTTGTTTTCTAAAGAAAGAGCTAAATAACATCATTTTGTCCTATATGTTTTTTTTTTTTATCTTTCTTTAGTTTAACATAGAGATACACAAACTTGAAGAGAGAAAGTTTTGTGTACTGGTGGTAATATTCCTTTTTTCATTACAATATTCATTCTCGCAACTGGTATCTTTTACTGTTAAACTTAATGATCATTTAATATATTTATTTATACATTTACAATTTTATCATCTCACCCTTTCATCTTCTTTCACCTTTTTATACTTATTTATTATTTATTAATAATATATTATTTGCTCCCTTATAAAATCAATGGTCAAGATCCGCCACCAATCATCCACTACCTTTGATTGTCTTATTGGTCGTGACCTATTATTATCACTACAATTATTTATGGAAACACAACATGTAAGAATCATAATCTCTTCATTTTGAAAATTAATTTGATAAAACAATTTTAGAAATGTCACACTGTAAAAGAATAATATTTTTTGAGGGATTTTTTGTGCATATTTCATGAAACTAAATTTGGAATTTTCTAAAATTTGAGTTTTTTAAAATTTTGGTTTTCTAAAATTGTTATGGTTTCTAAAATTGGATATTATGAGTAAAATTGATATGGATGAATATGCAATGGACTAAATACAGTGAGTTATCGTTGTATATCATACCCATATCTTGAAATAAAATAAAATGTATTAAATTTAAAGTTAAATGTAATGAAATATATGATGCAATTTCCCTTCTTAATTATTTTCAAGTTGAAGATACCATTTTTTTCCAAATTATTTTTAAGTTAGTTGTAATTTTTTTCTCCTACTAATTTTCAAATTAGGTGCAACAATAATTTATTTTTTCTTTAATTATTTTATACTCCAACTATTTAATGATATTTTGATTCATGTTATTCTACAAATTATTTTTATTATTATATAATATTTATTCAAATAACATTTATATTAAATTAGAGTGATTTATCATTGATAAAGATATTTTAAGTTTAATATATTATTATTTTATTAAATTCTATTGTAACTTCATATTAATTTTCGGTTGAACATTTAAAATTTACACTAATATGTTCACTGAGACGAACACGGATGAAAATCCTTCACCATACGAAAGATTTATTAAAATCTTACTAAATATTATAAATATTCTCTTCGTAAACCAACTTTGTAAAATTGAGTTAAAGTAACTCAATACTTCTCCAAATTTTTAAATTGATAAATTTTTATATAATTTCTATCTCCATAAGATTAAATATATGTTATCAATTGAAATTGATGTCATTAACTAAACACTATCAAATTCTTGTAAGAAATAAAAATACAATTTCAATTAAAATAAAAACTTATACAAAAATCACATTCGGTAATTTATATTGCATTAAAAACTAATTAGAAATATTTTAAGTATGATTAGCAAAAATTTTAAACTCTACCAAAAACAACATTCAGTACCAAAAAACATTAAAAATTCAATTTTGAACGCGAATTTTACAAAGACTGACTTTACCTTCATCATGAAAAGAAACCAATTTAAATAGTCAATTGTAAAGAAACACGTTAAACATTTGGAAAGGATATAAATTATCACCTTTCTTGAGTCCACCGAACAAAATTATTCATAAAATCTAGTGCTCAAATATATTTTAGAAAATGATACTGAAAACAAATATAAGATTAATTATTTTAAAATATTGTCATATACACACACACACACACACACACACATATATATATATATATATATATATATATATATATATATATATATATATTCATCGGTTAAAAAGAAATTAAAAAAGTCTTTCACAAATAATAATAAAAAAAAGCACTAACGCATTTGAGAAAATAAAAACGTCCAGAACAAAATAAGTTACATTTTTAATACTGAATTGTGAAATAAGTAGTAAATTATCCTTGCTAGCTTTCTGTTGTTGAGTGTAAATTACATATGATAAACTCTATTAGAAAAACAACAACAACAACAATAATAATAATAATAATAATAATAATAATAATAATAATAATAATAATAATAATAATAATGGGAAAATTGTAGATTGAACTAGACCATTAGTTTTATTTTCTTGCCAAATGGAATAATTACCTACCAGTGAAAAAAGGTAAGAAAATGTTCTTCAATAAAGGTTAACAAATAACCATGAAACAGCTAACCAGTTAATCTCTTGGCCGTACTGCACCAGTTAATAGATAGAAGTGTGAAGCTAATGATCTGATCTAATTGTTTCATGATCAGGATCCACTTTAGACCACCTATTAATACGGCTACGGGCTATCATTACCTGCATATAACATGTGAGTTCATCAACTTTTATATCTAATTGAAACTCACATGAAAGAAAATCTAATAATTAAGAAAAGAATTAGAGAAATATTGATCAAATGAATACCTGTTCATCCCAATTAGTTCTGTATGTGATTATAATAAGGACTATAGTTTGAACTAGTGTTCCAAACAACATTCCAATCCAAACACCCTACATAGAACAAAGTTTGCCAAATGGATAAATAAAATAAGAATCAAGTGCAATTTGAAGATGATAAAAGGAATACCATAGAGGTCTTACCTTAACTTGCAAGTGGAAAACATTACCAAGTACTATTCCAACAGGAATACCTATGACATAGTAACACCCTATGTTCACATATGCTACAATGCTCTGCCACCCTGCTCCAATAGCAACCCCTGTTGAAATCATATAATTTCATATCTTTTCAATTAATAGACTAGATTACTTAGTCATGTTAAAACATGTTCAAAATCCTGAACAAATTCTTCACACCAAGATACCATAATTTATGAAGCTTACCTGAGAGCACTGGTTGAACACTATTTAGTAACAGAGAAATTGCCAACAAAGGTGACAAATCCCCAACAGCATTAACCACGTCTTCGCTTGTAGTAAATACATAGGCTATTTTTTCTCTTAAGAGTAAGAAAAGTATAAACAAGAGAAACCCAATTGAAAATGATGTAAGCACTGTCACAAGTATAGAGAACTTTGCAGCTTTGGAGCTTCCTTTTCCAAGCTCGTTTGCCACTCGAACACTGCAAATGAAGTAAATAAAGTTAATATTCCAAAGTAGGTGCATGTATTTCATCAATTTCTATTTAAGAAGATAAACAATGTCATTACACATTACCTTGAAGCAGCCATGAAACCAAGTGCTATCATCATTTCCCATCCGTTGACGTTGATGCTGTAAAAAAAAAAAAAAAAAAAGAAATTTGTTCTTATGCAGTAAGAGAAAAGTTTACTATGCAAGAGGCCAATGCAACATTGTACCATAATACGTTTCTGAATACCTTTTTCATTAGTGCCTGAAATGAATTCGAACAAATAAAGTATAATATAAACTCCACTCCCTAATTTCATAAACTCAAACTCCTACTATAAATAATGCTTGCATTTTCTCATTCAAATTAATGAGAGGCAATGCAAAAGAAGTACCATATAGATAGAGCATCAATTTGGACCTCTGCATTTTCCATGTTACCCGTTAAAAGAACCAATATTGTGTTGTACCATAGCTCAAGACTGTACATTAAACAATAGAATGAAGTTAGAAAGACATCTATTTACCAATATTTGCTTCTGAGGTAAAACGCATAACAGTAATCTAGATAATCAAAACTATGTCTTATACATTAATCATAAAGAAAAACCAAATTTATTTAACAATTAGTAGTTGATAGAGAAGAAAGCTGACCATAACATTGCACCAGCTGAAAGGGACATCTTGATAACAGGCCAGAGGTCTTTGAATGCCAAAAAGGAGAAACCTTTCCATGTTTCAGAGCACCAACCACATGTGACAAATATGATTTGACCAATGTTGGGGATCCAGAATGCCAAAATTGCTGAAATCATTGCACCAGCAATCCCAAGGCTGAAATACATTGTCAAAAGCCAGGAGAGAAACACATGAATCACTATCGCAAAAGCTGCCACGAATGCAATGATGACGTTCTTGCTCTGTGATTGCAGGAATGTCTGGCAAGTGAACGAGAAGATGAAAGAAAACATGATAGGAATTGACCAGAGAGAAATGGTTCCTGCCACATCTGCTATGCTCTCATCTTGGCCTAAAAGCGTTAAAATGGGGCTTGTGAAGATGAACACCGGAACAAGACAAAGTGCTGTCAAGAACAAAACTATCCATGATCTTTGAAGATAAACTCCCATCATGTTATATTCTTTTGCTCCAAATGCTTGTCCACAAAGCGTTGACAATGCACTCGCCATTCCTAACTAAAATTGTCATTTGACAGACACAAATAATTTCTGTTATTCTCTTGTAGCTGCAATTGATATACCATGCAATACTATATTATTGAATCAAATGTAATGGTAGCCAATAGCTACATGTAAATGATGAAAGCTACACTCATCAATACCGAAATGTAATTTTGAATATATGTTCACAAGCTTCTTTTTTTTCTTTTTTCCCTTAATGTGTATTTGTTTTCTTATAACCCAAGATTCAGTATTAAATAAAACCACTACTAAAACCCAATACATTCAAAACATCCAAAAAGAAGACGAAGAAGAGATCTCTATATCGTTTAGTTGATACTGTAGAAAATCTAAAGGGTCAATAGAATCTTTTGTTGGAAGCTTACAGTTATAGATGCCTATTGATTATAATTTATATTATATTATATTATTATATATATATATATATATATATATATATATATTATCTTTATTAATCTTTGTTGTGGAGACAAAAGTATATTACCATAATAAATTAATGGAAACTAACCATGTATGCTGAACAAATTTTATGTAGGAAAATGAAGTTGTACATACCAGAACACCATTGGCGAAGCGTAGGAGAACAGTGAAGACAAGAGCAAAAGCAGCAAGTTCCCTTGGGCCAATATGACCAACAAAAGCTTGACTTATAACATTGAGACCAAACGTGGAGAACCTTGTGAATATGGCTGGTGCTGCCACTATCCACATCAACTTGCTCTCTTTCCACACCCTCTTCACCAACGATGATTCCTCTTCTTTTTCTTCCTCTGAGGTTATCTCTCTCAGCAATTTCTGCTTTAGGTTCCCCTCCATCTTTTCCAGTTTTTGGTTTGGGTTTGTATGATCAAACAGAACAAGAGTTTGACCTTACTTTTATAAACAACATAAAAAAAGTTAATACCTGAGAGAGACAGAGAAAAAAACTCAAAATTTTGAAGAAGTTTTGTTTATAGCCACGAGGAAAGGCACGAGGAAGACAAAATATTAGGTACTATTGGGGGGCATATTTTGACTCAATATTTTGAAGTGTCAAAAAGTACGTTAGTGATGATAAATATACTTAAAAATAATAATCATAAGCAATTACTAAAAGAAATGATACTTTTCAATAAAATATTTATTCAAATTGAATAAAGACTTAAGTATCTATTTAGTCTCATCATTTACTTATTTTATATTATTTAATTTCATAAAATTTCTTAATTTTAATAATACAGTAATATAACCACTTTTTATTAAATTATTAGTAAAATTGCTAAATAAATATTAAAAAATTAATTTATGCAAAATATAATTCATAAACAACAACACATGATAACAATTTATAAATCTGACAATGTTAATTTCAACGGATAAAAGTGTTGCATGATTAAATTTTAATTGATTGTACCTCAAAAGAGTTTACATTTCAAAAATTGATTGACACATTGAATATTAGATTTACAAAGAGAATAAAATTGAACCAAATAAATAAATTATAGAAATTAAAAAATAAATAAATCTAAGAGCATTTTTATTATTAAATTTTAATTAAAATTTTATAGAAGTTTTTATTTTATTTTATTTATGTTACATCATTCTTAATCATTTCACATTATATTTTTACAAATTGTTTTTATAAATAATCCATATTTTTATAATATTTTATGTACACTTCACTATGACTTCTTTAAAAATCTATTTATATAATATTAAATATTAATTTAAAATACATTAACATGTATAAAAAAATATTAATAAAATCCACCACATTTATTTTATATTTATAAAAATAATTAAATATTAAAAACAAAATAGATTGCATAATGAAGTAAAATACATTGCCAGAAATTTATTTATAACAATGCATAAAATTTAATTTTTACCATTATTAGATCCCAACATTATTAAAATGTTCCACCAAATTAATTTAAAAGTTGTTGATGATGTTTGTCATCAGCACCATCCGAAAAAGGAAATACACATGTCTTCCTTTGCAAGTATATTACATTAAAAATAGAATGAGGAGCAAGCATAAAAGACATTTCAAAAATCATATTATAAAATAAGAATAACACAAGAAAGGGTTGAATTATATTTTAGGTGAATTTTAAAATTTTTCAAAATTTATTTCTAAACTGATCGATTTTAGTAATTTTATAAAAATACAAACTTAAGATTTGATTTTGAGTTGGAATAACGTAAAAAAATTATATTATAGTATTTTCAAATTGTTTTAGGCAATACCGTAAATATAATTACATTTAGACAATGAATAAAGAATATAAACACAACGTTACATTTTGTTTCATCCCTAACAGAAGACAATATTCAGTTCTTGACAACACAATAAGATTCATTAGTAGAAGACGATTCCATATGAATATTCTTTATTGTTACTCCTTCAACACACACGTATTATTTTCTAAGCCTCCTTAATTTTATATACAAATATTCTTTATTTAACTTCTCCAAGCTTATTATGCCAATATTCTTTAGTTACACTGTAGATTGAGAACAATAAAAGAAAGGTGGCTAAATTTATTTTATTGAAATTTAGAAATATCATCAAAACTAATTTCTTAATAGATAATCTAATTTGAAATAATTTAAAATGGATAGACTCATATTGTATAGTCATATGATGAAAATAGTCACACGATTTTTTCATACATAGTTTTTAAAAGCAAACACTAGTAGTATAATAAGTCTTGGTTAGTAAAGTTAATTGACATCATAACAAGAAAAATAATCACATGGTGATTTTATACTTGTTTATTTTAGCATGCGGCTACATTTAGTATTTGACAACCCATGTTTCACTAGAAAACAATATAAGTATTTTTTTACTACGATTTTAGTTTACTAAAAAAGAATTATGTAATAAATTTATCCTTTAGAATAAGTTTTAGAATAATGAATATTATTTTGTAAGCCTCTTTAGACTTTACCCACAAATATTCTTCTGTAAGTTTTTACAGATTTTACATTAGAATATCCTTTAACGTCTTACAAGATTATTATTTGATAACCATCTTTAGACTTTACAATTAAATTGTTTTTCTATATCGATCACCACTTACGGTTTACTTTATCATTTTTTTAATCATCTCAAGAAATCGATACAAAGATAAGTCATCTAAGTCGAGATAAGATATTTTTTAATGTGATTGAACTATTGGAAACTCTTTCACTTTCTATTATGATCACCTTTTCATTAATTAATCTTGATAAGTGATTTGTAAGTGATTTGCAACTAGGTTCTCACATCCTTTATTTTTTACATGTTTCAAATTAAATTTCCACTACAACCATCAATCTTATTAGTCTTGGTTTGGAATTAGATTTGGTTAACAAATATATAATCTTGCATGGTTAGTATAAATGATGACTTTAGATCCTATTAAATAAGGTGTAAATTTTTTTAATGCAAACACTATAGTCAACCACTCTTTCTCTATGAGAGCATAATTGATCTGAGTTTCATTCAAAACTTTATTAGCATAGCGAATGAAATGAATGATTTGAGACTTTCTTTGTTCTAGTATTGTTCTTAGTGCATAATCATTTGTGTCACACATCAATTTAAAATTATATTTTCAGTCTAGTGATGTGCTGAGAGTTGGACATAATTTATGCTTAATTAAAGAAAAATATGTAAGTAATCATCATCAAAATTAAATTTCGAATCCTTGTTGAGTAACTTGCTAATCTTTGAGAAGTGATTGATAAAAATTGTCCATAAAAGTCAACATGTCCTAAATGTTAGCAAAATTGGGGTCTAGAACAAGAATAGAGAGAGAAGTGTATCAAAAGGGAGAGAGAGAGGAGCATTCAAAATGTAAATTGTATATTAAATACGTAAATTGTAACACTTCAAAATTTATCATGTAAAAATTTTCAGATAAAATATATTAAATTATATTATTAGATAATTTAAATATATTTATAATAAAAAAAACATTTATTAAAAATTTATTTTTAAAAATAAATAAATATTTATTAAAAAATTATTAATTATTAATTTTCTTTTAAAAAATTATTAATAAATTATATATATATATATATATATATATATATATATATATATATATATATATAATAAGATGATGATAAGGTGCATTTAATGAGTAATTAAAATAAATTAAAAAAATGAAAAAAATGTGAGTATAAAAAAGGATATTATAGGGAAAGGAGAAAAGAGAAATAGAGAAAGAAGAAAGGGAAGAGAGAGGGGGAACGAAAAAAGAAATATAGCTTGGTGCTTGGGGAAGTGACTCATTATTCTTCCGGTTTCACTTCCTTTTCTTGAGTGGAAGATATTTGTAAAATGTATGTTCTGATTCTGATATAAAATATGTCATTATTGAATCTTGTGATCTTTCTAATCAAGTTTATATGAAACCATTTTTGAATTGTGAAGATTTTACTTTTATATATAATGCTTTTTCAAAAATTTAGATGTCCAAGTTCCTTTTAGGAATTTTGAATATGATTTGCTTTTTGTCTTATGTGTTGCTCCTAGCCAATTTCATCCCAATGGCTAAGCTTTCTTAAAAGTTTTTCAAATTTCAAGTGATATACTGAATTTGTCTCCTATTATGAATAAATTTTTGTATTTCAATCAATTGAAACATGGTCAAAAAGTCACTTGGGCATCGTTAAATCGATCCTAACTAGGTGGGTTATTCACCATTTCCTATCATCCTTTAAAAATTTTAAAAATCATCTTTTCAAGATTAGATGTTCTGAGATGACCCATTTTGTCCACTCTTTTTCCATTCCAACCATACTTTCTATTTTTCCTTATATTGTAAATTTCCTCATAATTTTAAATTTCAAGCTTAACATATGTTATTACCCGAGGATAAGAAAAATATCAAAATCTTATCTAGTTTTCGTCGGTCTATTAGTTGTAGAGATATTTTATCTTTTCCATTTACTGAGGAACTAAAGCTCAACTTCTTGGTAAGATTTATTTAATCCAAAATAATCTAGTTTCTTGCAAAGATCAGGGCCCCAAATTTGATTACAAAAAGGCTTGTAACAAGTTTGGTGGTCAAGCTTTAGTGCGATTTCCAAAAATACATTGGGGTGAAGCTCAAAGATGCAGAGACTTTTTATCATTGAAAAAAAAAAAGTTCAACTTCAAAGCATTCTATATGACCATGACCAAGCTTTGTCAACAAAAGCAAAAGAAAATCAAGTTATCGTAACTTGGGTGAATGAGCTTCAACAACAAGTGCAAGAAAATGAAGTTCTAGTACTTCGTTTAAATGAATTACAAGATCAAATCACTTTATCATCTGTCAGGACCAATCTTGGTGAGAAGCTATTTAATGAAGCTAACAAGAGGGTTGAAGATGATGAACTCAAGTTCGCCAAACTCTAAGAAAATTATGATAAGCAAGCAGTCAAACTCTAAGTTGTTAAACAACAACTAGTTAAAGTATATGAGGAAGACTTCAATAAGGTTGTGGAACATGCTACAATCATAAGTATGGGAATTAATGTTGATTTATTTGATCCTGAAAAATCTATAGTTAATGGGTCATTAATAGATGACTGACCCTTTATGTAAATATATTTGAACAGTTTATCTGTAGTTTCTGCTTCTTGTTAAATTTACATGACTAGCTCAGATTTATTTGAACAACGAACACTTTTTTTTGAATTAACTCGATGTTAATATAATCAATTTTATGGAAACTTTTTATGTGTGACCATGTCATTGGTAAACTATCATAAATTGGTAAAACTGAAGCATTGGGTGCTTGGCCATTATCGTTTTAGCTTTAGTTAGGAAATTAAGGGTCAATATTGATGAAAGTGATAGGGGTTTGACCATCTCGCTCTAGACTTTGCAAGGCAATTGTAGATTCAATTGGGGAAGGAGATTGGAGGGACAATGGTTTTTACAACTGTGATGAGGGCAGGGGACTAGGCGAAGAAGGTTTTGGTGAGGGGGATAGCTGGAAGTGGCGAAACTGGGTTTCGATGGTTGAGCTGGGCGTGACTGGCTTGCGGTGGGCGATTGATGTGGTGCGGTGAAGGGGCGGAAGAATGAATTTGGGAAGTTGGGTCTTGGTAATGGCTAAAAATGAGGAGCAAGGGAATAATAAATGAAAATGGAGGTTCCCAAGATGGAGACAAGTATGTAAGAAAGACAAATGTAAAAAGTCTGTCTAAAATTTTTATTAATTATTTTTTTTAAATAAAAAGATTTTACATATCGGTTCATCTAGGAACCGATGTAGAAAATATTTTCTACATCGATTCTCAACTAAACTAACGTGAAAAGTCTTAAATTTTTTTTTAAATTACCACTGTCTTACTTTTTACATCAGTTATTTAATAACCGATGTAAAAAATTCTATGTAAAGAATAGATTAAGTACTAGTGACAGAAATAAATTTTACACCTAATCACACGCTGAAGGTTGTATCTATGCGCATGCTTCTATGATAATTTTTACTTCTTAAATTAATCTTTCATAATTTAGTAAATGGGTCCTTAAACTTATATATTAAGGATTGTTAATTTTTGTGTTTAAAATTATAAAATTTTCATATTAGTGTATTTTTTGCTTTTTGTTTGAATATATTTTTATCACTTTTAATTTAAATAGTTCTTTTATTTTGGTAACGATGTAATATCGATAACATAACACTAATGGCGTGATATTTTTTATTGATATGATGTGCGACGTAATATATATGTTTTTGTCCATATAATATCATTTTTAACAATTTTTAAAAAATTAATGTTATGTATCGATCCAGGCCAAGAAAGATGCTGATGATTTGTAGAGTACAAAATCATTGACTGAGGAAAGAAAAAATTTACTTAAAAAAAATAAAAATATATATTATATAATAAATAAATTTATTTAAAATTAATAAAATAATATTTTAATTAATCATATCAATTTTATCTTTTATTATTTTTTAATTTTTTTTCATTTAAATAATCTCGTCTTTTTATTTAATTTTCACTATTTTTCTTTATTTCGTTAAATCTTAACCAGACCTAATTAATAGATTGAAAAAAAAATAAAGAAAACAAAAACTAAATATTTTTTTATAATTTATAATAATTTGACTAAAAATAATAAAGAAAAGTTAAATTGTATGATGAAACCTTAACTAGACCTAATTAATAGATTGGAAAAAAATATTACCTGGAAAAATAATTATTAATTAACTTAATTTCTAAAAACGATTATAAACTGTGAAATTAATCTTAAAAGTAAATAGTTTCTAAAAATTAATCAACATAGTGTTCAAAATATAATAAACAACTTTTTGGTTGTATAGAGTATTCTTGTTCATTTCAAAACTTGTTTATACAATGTCATTAGAGTTACAATGTCTATACAATATCATATTAGTAAAAGAATGAAAATCGGTAACAATATTGAATTAAATTTAACATCCAATCCCAGTAACTATGCATTCGCAGGAATAAACTGTATAACATAAGCACCAGAAAATATTTCAAAAGTTAATCCAGATTCATTAATTTTTGAATTTGGAAGGAACATGAAACTAATCATCTGAAGCTGTAATTCTTTGACGATTAGCATCCAACTTCGACCACTTGTTAATACGATTACGAGCCACAATTACCTGTGCAGTGAAATAACGATTAATCCATCATGCATGTAATTAAAAATTTTTAAGAGAAAATCTACAATTAAGAAGCAATAAGAGGTAATGAATCAAATACCTGCTCGTCCCAATTAGTTTTGTAGGCGATTATAATTAGCACTACAGTTTGAATAAATGTTCCAAACAACATTCCGATCCAAATACCCTACAAAATAAGAAATAAGTTTTGTGAAACAGAGCAAACACCCAAGTTCAAGTGAGAATGAGAAGAATACCAACCTTGACTTGCAAATGGAGAATCTTACCAAGCGCCAGTCCTACAGGAATACCTACGACATAATAACAACCTACGTTCACATATGCCACAATGCTTTGCCACCCTGCTCCGATAGCGACTCCTGTTGAAATCATACAGTTTCAAAGTTCAATAACAACTTGTCGTTTTTCTGTAAATGTTCAGAATTCAATTTTGGTTTTTTCATATCAGAATTCTAGAAACAACTCAAACCAAACGTTGATGAACAGTACCTGAGAGTACAGGTTGGATACTGTTGAGAAGGATGGAGATTGCCAACAAAGGTGACAAGTCTCCTACAGCATTGGCCACGTCTTTATTTGAGGTAAATATGTAGGCAAGCTTTTCCCTTAAAAATAAGAAAACTAAGAAGAGAATGAATCCAATGACCAAGGATGTAAGCACTGACACAAGTATCGAGAACTTGGCAGCTTTGGAGCTTCCTTTTCCAAGCTCGTTTGCTACTCGAACACTGTAAATGACTAGAGATAAAGTTAACATTCCGTGGTATACAAACAAAAGAAGAAGAAGAAGAATAGAGAGAGTATTTGGATCTGAACACAAGAAAGAGGAAAGAATATCTTTACCTTGCAGCAGCCATGAAACCAAGTGATATCATCATTTCCCACCCACTGATGTTGAGACTGTAAAAAATGAAAATTGATCTTAAGCGACCAAAGAGAAAAGTTTTTTTTTAAGTGTTGGATTTCTGGACGATTGAAAAGTTTAAACTAACAGAAACACGTAAACAAAGAAGGATGTGTAAATTGGAAGATGAGAAAGATGATTCAAGAAATAAAAACAGAAAAAGGATCAAGTCGTAATCATATTACGTACATGTTAAATACGGAAAGGGATTACAGGTTAACACACAGAAAAATACGAAGACAACAAATACTCTAAATTATTCTAATTTCTTAATGCAATAATATCTTGATACGACACTCTAAACTATTCTAAATATATGTTGGATGCTCCAAGTTTAGATGTTCCGAACAAGTAGACTCCTCCAGTGCTCTAAAAATTTTACATGCTCCAACAACACTACATGCTACACCTATAGAGTTTCCAGCAAATGTTGAGCACCAGTATGGCACTAGATGCTAGGACATTCCTCTATACCATCCGACAGGTAAATATGATTTCAAGGTATTTATTATTTGACTATCTCCACCTAGATGTGAATCTCCTTCTATATGTGTCTATGAGAATATCAGAATGAGCCCTCCCTCCATTAGATAATTCCAACATATGATGAAGATACCAAGGAATATCACACTCCACCTTCATTGACACTTCTTCCAAATATTTGTTGATACAGCTAAATAATGTGTTTTTGTAAAATGTTTAATGAATATTGAATGAATAATAAAGACTTTTAAGAGTATTGAATTATATTAATGTTGTCTTCATATTTGTAAGTAGTATAAAATTCTAAGGGTTTATTTTTATAATACCTTATAGTTTTTCTTTTTTTAAAACAACCATTTCCGATTATACAAAATATAGACAAACTCGGAAATATCGTAAATTTATTCATTGCCCACTTCACAAAATAACTCAAAATTTCATGAATTCATAGTGATGATTGAGAAAAAGGGTGTTAGTTGCCATTTTCAAATTTAAAGAAGGTCGAGACACAAAAGAAGGAATACCATATAGATAGAGCATCAATTTGGACCTCAGCATTTTCCATGTTGCCCGTTAGAAGAACCAATATTGTGTTGTACCACAGCTCAAGACTGAAAATATACCATTAGCTTCAAGTTAGGAAGGCATAAATGTTTACGATTTCCCAATCATAGCATTTCTAAATAGCTTAGGCCACATGAAGAAGAAAGCTCACCATAACATGACCCCAGATGAAAGGGAAAGCTTGACAACAGGCCAAAGATCTTTAAATGCTAAAAATGAGAAACCTTTCCATGTATCAGAGCACCAACCACAGGTAATAAATATTAGTTGACCAATATTCGTAATCCAGTATGCCAAACCAGTCGAAGTCATTGCACCAGCAATCCCAAACTGGAATTTTGTTGTCAGTAGCCAAGAGAGTAAGATATGAATAACTATTGAGAAAGCTGCCAAGAATGCAATAATGACATTCTTGCTTTGAGATTGCAGAAACATTTGGGTGGTGAAGGAAACAATAAAAGCAAACAAGATAGGAATTGACCAAAGAGAAATGGTTCCCGCTACTTGTGCAACGTTCTCATCTTGGCCTAGGAGCCTCAAAATTGGGCTTGTGAAGACGAACAGAGGAAGGAGACAGAGTGCAGTTGAGAATAAAACTATCCATGATCTTTGAAGATACACCCCCATCATATCAAATTCTTTTGCACCAAATGCTTGTCCACAAAGTGTTGACAATGCACTCGCCATTCCTAACTGCAATTGCCAGTTAAAAGGCACAAATAATTGAAGTTACTATCATAGTTTTTTACATAACACTGCCAATACATTTTCGTTGAATATATTGTATTTGCAGTCATAACAGGTGCTCACAAACCAATCATTGATATTCATAATGATTAAAATCACTATTATAACACAAACATATATTCACACGAACTAAAACAAAATTCCGGAAATCCTTAATTTAATCGTTCGTAAAACAGAGGACATTATCATTATCATTATAAAGAAATATATCTTCTATAGAAATGGAAAGGTTAGTTAAGATTCTCCTCACAAATGTTTTTACCTTTGTCCGGATAAAAATAAAAGATGGTTTATTAACAGTAAAACTTCAGATAAATAAAAATCAACCCATACGTATCTTTATTCTTATATTCAAAACCAACAGAGTAGTCTCATTAAATAACATATAAAATTAGTTAAAACTTACCCTGAAATCAACATTTAAATATTTCTATTATATTCAAAACCAACGAAGTGATTCTCATGATATTCATAATTATTCATGTATAAAAATAGATAAGTAGTTTTACAGATAACATCTAATTTTGTTCCAGTTCAAAGTTAAGTATTCAACTGAAAAAATATTCACTTTCTTTTTCTTCAATGTTACACCTGTCTTCCCCTCTTTCTCTCCCTGCTCTCTATGCTCCCCCCTCTTTCCTTCAATTTTTTTTTCTTTTAAAAGATTTTGTTGACCACCAATATTTACAAACATCTAGCAACCTTCAAAATATTATTATTTTTTTATTAAAAGAGAATGAAATAAAATATTTTTATTAAAAGAAAATGAAATAGAATAAATAAATAATAATATAAAAATTTAAAAACAGATTGTTAATAGATATTACTGTCCTTTTACTCTATCAAAATATCAACACCTTTTTTTTTATCTTTTCTTTTTCAAATTTTGTACATTATAAAGTTTAAAGAAATATAGACACTCAGAAGGAAGATTCTGCCAAAAACGTACCAGAATGCCATTGGCAAAGCGTATGAGAACAGTGAAGACAAGGGAAAAGGCAGCGAGTTCTCTTGAACCAATATGACCAATAAAAGCCTGGCTTATAACATTGATACCAAATGTTGAAAACCTAGTGAATATGGCGGGTGCTGCCACTACCCACATCAACTCGCTCTCTTTCCACACCCTCTCCACCAATGATAACTCCTCTTCTGATGCTTTGATCAGCAACTTCTGCTCCTGATCCCCCTCCATTTCTTTGGTTCGGTTTGAAGAGGTTATTATGGTAGCTTGTGGAAACCTATAGCTTATGTTTTTATGTATACAAAGTGTTCACATGACTTGGAAGCCCAAAATGACCCAAACGAACGGATAAATGAGCAAGCCGACTTTTTCTTAATAGATACTGCTTGTAATAATGCCAAAGTCATAAATGTATTTTCAGAAAATAGCTCTTATGTCGTTTTCAAGTCATAAATTTTAGGCTATGCGTGTTTGATACACGTACCACTGGAGCACATGCGACGTGTAAGCCATTTTATGTATAAATTGCTTTTCTTTCTTAAATAGTAATAAGTTTATCAACACAACCCGTAAGTATATCATCAAAAGAAATATGTTGAGGCGTATTTTTAAACAAAAATTAAATATTTTCTGTCATGCAGAGTGCCATACATAGGGATCGGTTGAATGGACAAGAATGCTTTTACGTGGATCCTTAAAATCTATCATTTTGGTAACATTTATTTTTCAAACTCGGCTTGGGGTATATGAGAAAGAAAGGGAGATAGGTACAGGTCCAGAGTGAAACTATAGGCAAGGTACCAAAGAAATAAATGAAAATATTAAGAACAGAAGATGAAATATAGGATATTTTCACACACATAGTGGAAAAAATATGCGAAAAATCTACTAACAATAATATAAATATAATAAATTATGTTGTGTAATATATTAATTATAAAATAAATATTTTATTTTTTATATAATAAATTATAATAAGTTCCGGTTTTATTATTTTACTTTCATCATTTTTTTATTATTATCGAATTATAATAAATAATATCAGTAAATGAAAAACAATTATTATGATAAATAAAAATATAATTTTTTACATTAAATATTCTTATGTTTCTTTACTTTCCTTATTATTTTATTCCTCCTTTTCTATTTTTTAACTTTTGCTCAAACTTAATTCATTTTATTAGTATCCTAATGTGAAATTTGACACATGACCACTTTTGACACAGGTCAATGGTGAGCTACAATAGGGTTCAGACTAAAAATTATAGAATTATTAAAAGTAATTTATTACCTGTTAATAAATTACATTTTATTTATTAAGTATAGAATTATTAACAAATAATTTATAAATGATTGTTAAAAAAATTGAAATTAAAAAATAATATTTAAATAAGTTTTGATGATTTTTTTTCATTTTTAATAAAATTTAAATAATTACAGAATATAATATATTTTGTAATGATTTTTAATAAATAAAAATAAATGTTATAATAATTTCAAATTTATTAAAAAGTTATTCATTAAAAATAGATTTTACGTAAGTAAATATAACGTTGTTTAAAATGTCAAAAATAGAATGCACGTAGGTAATTTTGTAAAATATAAGTAAACGAAGAATATGAAAAATGCTTTTATTCGACCGACCATGATGTTTCATCCAGTATTTTGTTCTTATTATTGAGATATGATTCTTCTACAGTTTTGAAGGACAAGCCCTTTTCGCACTAGTTAGTTGGTTTAGAATCCCGTTGAAGTGGGGACCCATTAGTTATTTTTATTGTTCGAAGAACATACACCCATTCATGTTAGACGTGGAAAAAGAATGGCGCTGCATTCAATTTGCTTCTAATTGGATTCAGATCTGCAGTGTTGGTGAAGAAACGTGATAATACATAAAAGAAGCTATTAAAAAATAAATAATTACGTAATTAGACGGAAGTTAGAAGAAATATAAATAGAACTATTGTACATCTTGAAAAAGGAATGAAATACAATTAGTTGAGTTTTCTTTATATTTTATATGAATTGTGAGTGAGTAAAGAGTTTAAATTTTGACATTGGTATCCACAATATAGTTACATTTGGAACAATGGTGACACTTAAGGAACTTAAAGCACATATGGAATCCTTTGAGAAATCGGTCATCAAGCCTCAAGAATTGACGAAAGAAACGTTGGATTCTTTCTAGAAATCTATCAACACTATCGTATTTTCGATTGTGACATTGAATGGTGGACAAAAGATTATAATTCAAGATGGCGAGGAAGGTGCTTCTTCAAAATCTCTGATTGAAAGAGCACAAATCCAATTTTCTTTATTTGATGGTACAAATTTCTGTGAATGGCTAGCAAAGGTAGAACAATTTGTTGAGTTGGAATCCACACCAGTACATTAACGTGGTAGATTGCTTTTATTATCAATGGATGAGAAAACTTTTTCGTGGCAACGCCATTACATGCAACAAACATCTTTCAAGAACAAATCTTGAGAACAAATTCTTCAAGATGTGGCATGTCGATTTGATGATAGTTCTTTTGATGATCCAATAGTTGAGATTTCAAGATTGAAACAAGAAGGTGAATTGATCGAATATTTAGAAGCATTTGATTCCTTATTGGCTCGGGTATCTGTTTCTGAATCCTTAGCTCTTAGTTTTTTTTGTCTGGATTGAAAATGGAATTGGAGAAATCTATAAGGGTTCATAGGCCTCAATCTCTTCAAGAGGCTGTGCATTTGGCAAGATTGCAAGAAGACATATTGAAGGAAAGAGAGAGACAGAGCCAACAAAGGAGATTAGGATCCCTAGAGACACAATCAAGATTAACCAGATCATGGATAACTCCAACAAATTCTCAAAAAAGTCATTCCATCACTAGTCTTCAGCAGAATATCTCTCAAGATTCCAACATTGTTCCTACAACAAATAATTCCAGGAATGCATCAAGAAAGGAAATCAGTGAAAGGGTAGCAAAAGGATTGTGTCAATTCTGTAGTGAAAAATGGGACAAGAATCATAGGTCCAAATGTAAGGTTTGGGATAAGCTCAATGCATTTTTTGTGCTCAAGAGGAATTAGGTGATGATGAAGATATTGATCTATGTCGTGACGAAGGACAAGAGTTGATCAATAGTAGTTTAACATTGGTTCAAGATCACGATGTGCATATTTCACTTAATTCCCTACAAGGAGTAGCGGGAGGAAGTACTTTACAGTTAAGAGGATTCATCAAGAAACAGATGGTGCCTTTTCTAATGGACACTGGAAGTACCCATAATTTTATTGGGGAGAAATGGGTCAAACTTCTTGGTTTAAAAACACAGTTCATCAAAGATTTTCCTGTGATGGTAGCATCGGATAAGAAGATTTTAATCACTAGGAAATGTGAAGCAGTAAATTGGAAATTTAATGACCATAACTTTACAACAGATTTTCTGGTTCTGCCAAGCAACACTTTTTGGGTGATTTTAGGCATGCAATGGTTGAAGACATTGGGAGAAATTTACTGGAATTGCAATAATCTTACTATGAAATTTACTCATCAAGATCAAGTTGTGACTCTTCAAGGAGATCAATCCTGTATGGAATTACGAGAATGGACTGGAAAATTAAGATTGTTACAAGACACATGTTGGGCGCTTGTTATACAAGATTCAAATTTATTAATTGTGACTGATAAGGCAGATCAAGAAGAATTAACAGAAGAACAATCGGAACAATTACAGGTTGTCTTGGACAACTTTCAAAATCGGTTTGTCGAACCAACCTAGCTTCCACCCACCAGGAAGTGTGATCACAAAATTCAATTGACAACTAATACTCTTGTATTTTCAAAGCCTTATAGATATCCTCATGTGCAAAAAGAGGAAATTGAGAAACAAGTACAACAATTACTTTCAACTGGTTTTATCAGAGAAAGCAATAGTTCTTATGCATCTCCACTAGTGTTGGTAAAAAAGAAGGATGGCTCTTGAAGATGTTGTACTGACTTTAGGAAGTTAAATGTTATCACCATCAAGAACAAATTTCCTATGCCACTTGTTGAAGATCTTCTAGATGAGTTAAATGAAGAAGATATTTGCAAGACTACATTCAGAACACATAATGGGCATTATGAATAGGTTGTACTTCCTTTTGGTTTGTGTAATGCTCCAGCAACCTTTCAGTCCCTCATGAATGATATATTCAGGAAGTACTTGTGGAAGTTTATATTGGTGTTTTTTGATGATATATTAGTTTATACAAGGACTTGGCCAGATCATTTAGAGTGTTTAACAATTACATTGCAGATTTTGGAGGAGAATAATTTGGCCATGAATTTTAAGAAATGTAGCTTTGGAAGGAAGACAATTGAATACTTGGGACATGTGATAACTATGAATGGAGTTCAACCAGACCAAGAAAAAGTCTCTGCAATTCAACAATGGCCTACCCCAACTAATGTCAAGGAACTCAGAGGATTTTTAAGACCAAACAGGATTCTAAAGGTAATGTGGAAAGGTATAAGGCTCGTATGGTAGCTAAGGACTATATCCATAAGGAAGGGATTGACTTTAAAGTCTCTTTCTCTCCAATTTCATTGAAAGACTCTTTTAGGACAATCATGACTCTTGTAGCACATTATGATTTAGAGCTTCATCAAATGGATGTCAAGACGGCATTTCTCAATAACAACATTGATAAGACAATTTATATGGTACAACCAGAAAATTTTGTGCAGGGAGATCCAAAGAATATGGTTTGCAAACTAACAAAATTCATTTATGGACTAAAACAAACATCTCGTCAATGGTACTACAAATTTCATCAAGTAATTCTCTCATTTGGCTTCAAGATGAATATTATTGATGATTGTGTGTATCACAAGTTTAAAGGGAGACAAGTTTAGTCTCAATCAGTGCCCAAAGGGGAATTTGGAAATTGAAGAAATGCAAAAGATTTCCTATGCATCAGCCGTAGGGAGTTTGATATATGTCCAAGTATGTACACGTCCAGACATAACATACATAATTGGGATTCTAGGCAGATATTTAAGTAATTCATGAATAGACCGTTAGAAAGAAGAAAAAAAAAAGGTCATGAGATATTTAAAGAGAACAAAAGATTATATGCTCACATACAAGAGGTTATACCAGTTTGAGATCGCTGGGTTTTCTGACTTGGACTTTGCAGGATGTCAAGATAGTTTGAAATCCACTTCAGGTTACATTTTCATGTTGACAGGTGGTGCGGTT